TTGACCCCAAAATGTGTTATATCTTTAAAGAAAGCTTTATGAAGACAAAGGTTATATAGAAGTATACTTCAGTAAAATATTATAATACGCTGAAGTTATTCATACCCAGTTATTTATAATTCAATACATTTTACCAATTACCCACTCCTCCATTAAGTTTATATACAAAATACAATACTGTTCCCTTAAAAGTAAATAAGGCCCAGAGAGTGAGCTCCCATGGCAATAGAAAAGTGCCAATCAGTGCAATCAGTGGGTCCAACGACATATGATCCTTGTATATAGCTACATACCCACGGTTAGCTAGTGTTTGCAAATATTATAAATATTTTACAAAGTATACAGTCAAAATTGTGAGACTGTAATTCATCTGCATTGAAACATTGACTCTTTATTTATGGTGTTTTAGTCAAAGCATCTGTTACCGTCATCAAAACAAGGAATGTTTTGACTTTTTAAGTGTTTTTGCGCCAAAAATATTACTTACATTCATGGAGGCATTGATCTCACTGACAGTTTCGTCATCTGTTGGGAACTGATATATCTGGACGCCGTTGCTCACCAGCTCGCTCATTATCTTTATTTTGAATTTATGAAGCTCGCTCTTGGAGATTGTGTCCGCTTTGGCAATGATGGGAATTATGTTGACCTGCGGAAATAATGACAAAAAAAAAAAAAAAAAAAAGTGAGATAGTTATTAAATATGTGGTGCGCTGCACTGTTGTTGCTAGTGTGGTGGAGACTTCCAAAAATGATAACGCAAAGACGTTTTGTGTTACATTATGGAAGCATTTGGTTTAGCCTTGTTTAAACGTTGACATGACAAATCAAAAGGATGCACAGGAAACACCCAAATGTTTTCAGATCATGACAGATTACAGCAATTGTCATCCAACCATCATGAGCAAACACTGCTTAAAAAACATTAAAGCTACATTAAATATATTGAGGTTTTAAACAGCTGTGTAGTGCATCTATAAGACCATGCACAGTTAACTGAATAGCAAATAAGCCCAATCAGAACCCCGACTGATAAATAAAACAAACAGTGATTATGAAAACAAACTCGGCTCCATCTACAATCAGCAGCAGATGTGAAGAAATAAACACACAGTTTGTCTGCATTCCTCTGTACGGCTGCATTCCCCAGATCACCAACTGGGAAGATGGGCAGGACTCCCACAGATCCACACAGCAATTCCACAGCGCGCCTTAGAGTATGAGTCAGAGCTAGTTAAAAATCTGATTTGAATCTCATCATATTTTGTTGGCTCGTTAATTTGCAGCGGGGTGGCCAGTATCAGGTTTTAACCCTTATTTAACAAACTAATTTAACTAATCTCGGTGTTATATTTGCTCGCTTCCCACAACTGAGTTTTCCCAGCTGACCAAAGATCATTCCCAAACAGTTAATGTTTGTTCTGAGGGACGAGGAGCGCCAGCTGTGACCACATTAAAGCAGTTCACAGGAAAGATAATCCCTGAAAAAACAGCCCAATATTTTTGGCACTTTGTCATTTAATGTTATACAGGGAAATATCTCTGAGTGTGCAGGTGAGACCACGCTGATACAGTCTGAGCCTTAATAATGAAAACGCTTACAGAACAATATGAAAACACCTAATATGAATGGATCCCATTATTATCGTTTGTGTTACATAATTATGTGGATAACGAGCTGCTTAACTCAGCTTTCATAATGAAGTTCCTGTAATTTCTGGGCTTTGGTGAACAAGAAATTGATGTACAACACTGCTGTGGAGTCAACTTTTCACTTTTTTAAAGGCTGGATTTATTTATAGATATAACACTGCTATGATAAATTACTTATTGTAATAGATTAGTTTGAATCATCATGTGTTTATTGTTTCAAGAAAAAATAAATACATGATGACTCTTGGGGACGCTCTGGAGTATTTCCTGATTTTTTTTTTTTTATCTGATTTATGGACGCTGCTGGATAAGAAGATTCTGGGAAAGTCGCAATAAATCTACAAATATAAAAATAGATGTTTAGCAAGATGTTTTCAAGCACGCCCTGGAAGCCTAAATAATACCTGATGGCAATAAAAGCAGGAACAAAACAAATGTCTCACAGACTTAGATAAGGGTTTAAAAGATCTCAAACCTGCAAGCTGCCACTGACTGTGGATAACGTCACACAGCACTGATGTGAGAACAGCGTAGGCATGGTCTGGAGGACTCATGGTAAGTGGGCAGCATGACGTGTCCTGTCCCATGCACAGTCTACTCAGGCAACAGCTTCTCTTGAACCAAACCGAGTATTTTCAGTACCACTGTGTGCTATATGTAAGGAGCGGACAATGCCCTGACCTGATTGTGCCAACACTGTTCAAAGCTCATGTGGAAAAACGGCACTACAAGAGTCAGGAAGCAGACTCCTTATTACTTTTAAAACCCAGCATGTAATGTGTCCTTTCAGTAACGCTCCGTCAAGCCTCTCCCTCTATTTTTACTTTGGAAAACATCTCATCTGCCACAAACAGGAAAAACGGTATAACCAAAAACAGCAAAATGGAACCTAACCCAGCCATGTGACAGTGGATTACATCACAAATTAAAAAGGTATTCTTAAAGTTAAGCAGGAGGCATGAATCATTTCGCCGAATAACCTCAATAAACTCACTCTTTTACATTCTTTAATTTAAAAAGTTAAGTAGAAATGTTTCCCATCCGTCAACAAAAAGAGTTAAAACCTTCATTTAAAACAAACGACACTCCTTTCAGACTCTTATCTGTCTTCCTGCCTTCATTTACTAAAAACCCCATTTTACTTTACGGGCCTTGTGTGGGGAGGGCTGATTCGTTAACAAGAAAAACACCATTGTCTGGGTTAGACAGAAAAAAATACACAGACTGAGGGAAAAGCTGTTTCTGGTCTCTTTCCCTGGTTTTTCCTGTGACAACACTATCTGTCAGAGGGGACAGATCTGTTCATTTATCTGTTTCATTTCCAGATACAACTTAAGATTTACACACAATGTAATGATGCTTTCTCTGACAATTAAATTTGATATTAAAAAACACACAGCCCTGATTTATCGAGCCATGAAAAAAAACATAACGATTTCCAGCTACTGGGATGTTGTTTTTTTTAAAGCAATTTTCTTGCTTCTGCGTGTTTAAGAATTAGATTTTAGGCTGTAAACGCGTCTGTAATCTGTTGAAAACTAACTGGTATAAAAAACTGAATGCGAAAACATAAAATAACTTTGTTAAAGCTATTTGGTTTATTGTCTTGGTTTATGCAAAACAAAGTAGGCACTTTCTGTGGTCACCCTCCAGATATCCAGAGCCCATAAACATGAAATAAGACAGAAATCTCATAAATGTGCAAAGGCTGAATGTTGTTTGGTTTGCAGGAGTCTTAAATGTTGCCTCCAAATCTATCTAGAAAGAGAACCTTGCACACACAAAGTCCATCTGCCCTGTAAAACACAGCAGTGTCACTTCCACATTGCAGTTACTCAACACTGGCTTGTTTTCAGATACAACAGCAAACACACTGCACATTGTGGAAAAATTGCTGGGACAGAGCCACTGAGATCAGAGTGGTACTCATCGTGAACACCCGCAGTCTCACTGGTGGGTTCTGAATTGTGTAAATCATTAAGGATAAAAAATAAAGCCTACATTTCTTCCGGTTTAATCCGGAAACACTTTGTGAATGTGTGCATAAAAATGTTTAAAATCTACATAAAGTTTAGGCTGTGGTAGCTGCTCTGCTACAGTATATTTAGCTCAGGTAAGTTGGATGAGTCAAAGCAGAGGCCATGGCTTGGCTGTGTTCACTGTACTCATTTGGGTGGTATAAGGAGACAGTTGGCAAACGTAGCGTGCCAGGTTTTGATCGTTCTGTTGGCACATCAAGACAGCACACGGGCTTGGTGGTCAGCGCCATCGTTTCACAGCAAGGAGAGTCCTAAATTTGGATTTCTGTCCTTTTCTAAAGTTCGTATAGGTTCCTTCACAGGTTAGGTTAGAACTCCTGTATCCCTAAAGGACAGTTTTAGTAAAAATACCAGAAGCACTGGTTTAATTTTGTAATAAACTTTTGTAATACTTTGAAAACAAAAGAATAAACCCTTGGGTTTTTAAGAAAGGGTTTAATATACTGAATCAGATTTGTTCCTGAAAGCTGAGGACTGAGTTAAGAGCCGTTGCATAAATTATTTATACACTTTTTCTGATGCCATAAAACTATTAAGTGTCCCTGTAGAGCGGCATTTGGCTGAGGTATCTAGTTTTTATTATGAAGAGTATCGAGAGACTTCTGGCAGAGATGGCTTGATTGTTGGCAGGGGAAAGCCATCAGGGTTGGTCACAAGCTGACCATCTGCTTTATTCTGGATTTATTATCACTGCACCAACAGAAACAAACAGAGACAAAGCTACCACTTCATCAGCTCTACAGCAGTGCTATTAGGAGTTAAATAGACTGAAAAACTAATCGCAACTACTGCAGATCAATCTGAATGATCCAATAAAATTTGATTGCTGAACCTTACAGTGTATGTGTATGTTTTGGTATAATCTCATACAAATTCACAAAAATTGGCTTATGGCTTCCACATAAAGCTTTGTAAGTGAAATGTGACAACTCCTGTGTGAGTTTACTGCCTCGCAGCTTTAAAGTTAAACGAGCTCCTGCAGAGCTGAAAATACAAATCTCCTCTTTCACCGTCATTCACTCCTCTGGGTTTTGTCTGCTTCATAATGTCTTACAGCTCACCTCCCTGGCTTTTAATAATTTATTTTATTAAACTGTGAAAACAGGAATAAAATGACAAAATAAACAGATAATAAACAGGCAATGCCCACTTAATACAATGAAAATAGAAATAATAAAATAATAAATACAAATGGCTCGAACTTAACGGCTCCAAACTGACTTATCTGGCTTGTCTAACTATGTACACCACAGTGACTCCGCCCCTTTCCCCTTCTTTGCCCCAAGTGCTGTTTTGATGAGATTTTTTTTTTCCATTTGTTATTTAATGAAGGCAATCCCAACGACTGCATCTCCAGTGAGATACACTCATCACATACAGCAAATCATAGATCCATGGAGCAATAATCTGTGCAGTAATACTCACAACAACAATGAAAAAGCCACAAATCAATGTGTTCCTGAATCGGACTATTGACTGTTGTACAGCTGTGTGCTGACCTGCAAACATATACCAAACTCAATCTCAGAGTGAATTAGAGGGTTGTGATGCTGATGTATTGGAAGCAGGGTAGTTCAAACTGACATAAATATCTTTTTATAAATAAGAATCTGTCCCTTAAAACACCAAATCAAATATTTTCACTATGCTGGCTTTTTAGGTGTAAAACTAGTCATGGAGAGGTTCTCTTCCCCAAATCACGACTATTACACTTCAAACCATTAATCCTTTTCCACAGAAATAGCCAAATAGGTTCAGCCTAAACACTGCCATGTGAACTCTTCTTGAAATCCTAAAAGATGAAATGGAAAGTCACTGGAACATTTTTGTTTCAACTTTACTCTTCTCTTTTGGGATCCAGAGTCCACACCCTGGTAGGCAGATCAGGGATGCCCTCGTTTCAGTGAAATTCAAACCAGTCACACGGAAAGGGAAATCTGACTTCAGACTAATATTATTCAAACACACTTGCATTTTTCCAGAGGGAAAATATAGATGCATGCTTGTGTGTCACATGTGCGTACCTTGCTGTCCAGTTTTTTCATAGTAACGAGGTCCAGGGACTTGAGGGAGTGTCCTGTCGGGGCAATGAAATAAAGGCAGATGTGGATCCTGGTGTCGTGGTAGTTAAACAGCGAGCGTTTGATCTTCAGCTCTTCCTGGAGATAGTTTTCAAACTGAGTGTCAATGTAGTCAACGATGGGTTTGTAACTGTGGAGAGAGGAGGGGAGAAAAGAGAAACCGTTAGGATTTATGTCTGTGGGTCAAAGCTAAATATTTGTCTTCTTGTTCATGCGCTGGTAATGAATATGAAAAGGGAAAGGGGATTTTTCACAGGGAAAGGAAAAGACACAGATATGTTTTCAGTAACTGTGTGATCTGATTCAATGCCAAGATCTCAGCTTAGAGTTGCACAGCTTAGTGCTGCATGAAATTTGTGTTCAGCTTATGGAAGGTCCAGTTGAAACTAATCAAAGAGGCTGCAGAAAACATCGCGTCCTCTCTCTCACAGAGCAGTGACTGTTTTCGGAGCCTTTAAGTGTCACCAGTAAATCAGTGAAGGGCACGAACACAAAGTAACACATCGTCATCTTTACAGCCTTTTCTCCTCGAGCATTTGCGAGAAAGGACAGGAGAGACGGGGAGTGCCTTTAATGCTACACCACTCGCTCACAGCTACTTGACTATACAGCTAAATGTCAGAAAATGTTACTTACATTGCATTAAAATAACACATTTCTGCTGGTTATTGCTCCAGTACAGTTGGTTTCTATAAGCTGTTTTCAATCTTTTAACCACAAAAGCCGGTGACCAGCCTCATTGGGATGTTTTGAATCACATTCACACCAGACTTGTTTATTTGAGTCTGCAGCTTCAACTCGTTTCATTTGGGAAGATGAGAAGAAAACCATTAGAAGGAAGCCACATGCTTAAATAAAAAACTAAGCGAACTGTTGGTTCATTAGTCATAGTAGATAACATCACACAGTCATAGTCTGGTTCTCACATCAACACTTGTCATTTTCTGGCTATATCTCTCTACAATTATGATCATCTATATATGAGATGTTCAGTAAATTTGTTTGTATTGAACAGATGTCTCCAGGCGAATTCCTTCGTTTATCTCATGCTGTTATATTTGGACACTGCACAACCAACTCAAACACTGTATGTTTTTCTTGCTCCGGATAGTAGACATGCTTGAAAACAACTGCAACCAGTGTCAAGCATCTTTAACACCTCCTGAATCCATATTCAGTCACATAGACTTCAAAGTGCCTCAGAATGACCAAAATGCAACCCAGATGCTCATGTTTAACATGCGTCTGCAAAAGTAAAAGTGATAATGATGACAGTTTGTCTTTAGAAAACAACGAACTCTGAGAAACAAGCCCAAAAAACAGGGCTAAAAGGACATAGCTGTTTTGTTTTGTTTCTTTTAGAATTAATAGGAAGCAGTTCCCTTGTGTGCTCTGGAAAGATGCAGTTTAACACTAAAGATGGAAAATCGTGACACAGTCCTGTTATGTTTAATCTAAGAGCTTGAATGTGATTTCGACAAACTCTCTGACCTAAAGCCAGTAATTCCAAGTTTTTCCTGTTAACCATCACCACTTCCATCTTTGCTAAACATGACAAATAACTGAAAATTACATCATCTTGTCGACTGTTCGACTCCGGATGTGCCACTTCACTGATGTTTTACAACTCAAAAGTGACACATAAATAGAACAGGAAAAAAATGTATTCCATTCCCTCAGCTTGCAACATGTTTACAGTCATCTGTCCTCTCACTTCACATCCATCTTCAATCTTCTCTGAGGAATGCACAAACTGTGACCTTTTGAAGCTCTCTCAGTGTGCCGTTACACTCCGCTGCAGGCTCTGTCCTTCGCCATGTTGGTTTAAACGGTCTACAGAGAAAGCTGCTATCAAAGAGCGTGAGAGTGCTGCTTGCTGGCTAGGCCACAACAAGTACACTTCATTCCACAGCTGAATGTTAAAATAAACAAATCAACAATTTCCTCTTTATTTCGCCAACTTCCTTCGGCCTTTGGAGGCACCATAAAATGTGCAGAAGTCTGGACTGACAGTGGTTTGTGTGTCTGGGTCACTCATTTGCCTACGTAAGCATCTTTTCATTAAAAATGCGTTAATGTCATTTTGCAGCTTGCAGATTTTTGGGGAAATACTTACAGGGAAATCTGCTTTTACAACAGACAAAAGGAAATCACAGTCAATTCGTTTTTTTTTACTTCTGCTTTTGGCTTATGGGATAATGCAGAGATATATTTGTGATCACCATTGTTAGTTTTTGTTGCTGGTTACCCATGGTACCCTTGGTTGTGGGTCAGTTTAGACTCCACTGCACCATTAAGTAACAAGCAGGTCTGGATACTTTGTGAGGCACTCTGGGCTGCATGTATGTGCACTTAGCTCACCTATCCTCTTTGTTGATCTGATCGCCGAAGCCAACCGTGTCAACGATGGTCAGTTTGAGGCGGACGTTGGTTTCTTGCAGGTCGTATGTTCGAGGCCGCAGATACACGCCGTTCTGGTAATGGCTCGCCTCTTCGTTCTCAAACATGGTGTTAAAGAGCGTGTTCATTAACGTCGACTTTCCGATACCAGTCTCCCCTGTGAACGGTCGGAAGCAGAGAGGGAGATGGAGAAAGAGAGAGTGCGTTAGCATCACTTGGGAGTACTTCATCAGCTTTCAGACATCGATTTTTATTGCTGTAACAGAAGTGTAAGCCAGTGTATTACGTTCATGTCAAGAAATACAACACAGTGCTGCTGTTTGTTATTTATATTTGTAGCTAAACATGTCACTCAGTGCAAAGTAAATCAACACGAGGGCCAGAGGGACTCTGGAGAAATGTACAGTAGTTACACATTCTCTGTCCGATACTCACCTACACATAGGATGTTGAAACAAAAACCCTGCGTGACCGATTTGCTGACCAGCTGCTCAGGGAGGCTGTCAAACCCAACATGGCCACCCAAACTGAGGTTACGCTTCTCTTCATTCTACAGGACACACACAAAAAAAAAAAAAAATCAGAAGTGTGGCGGATGTCAGGAAAACACATGGCTGAGTCATTATTCAGAAGAGGATGGCACAGATACTGAAGCGCTCACATTCCAATGCGAGGAAACATCAAAGACCTTCTGCTTATTCTGCACATGTAAAATCCATCACATTATGAGTTGGGTAATCGGGGCCTGCAGTGAGGATGAGCTTCAAGAATAATCACTCAGAAGCACAAAGAGGAAAGACATGCTTTAACAGACAGAAGAAGGAAGTGATTATATTTGTATGGAAAATGGAATAAGGCACTTGAAAACATGCAAGATGCAAGTTAGCAGCTTGTTTTATAGAAAACCCCAATGTGAACATTTCAGAACCCCACCAGTCCATCTATTCTCCAAACAAGCTCATAATCAATATATCAGTTATTACACACTATAATAGAAATATATTGTTAATAGTGGGATGATAACAGCAGGTACAGAAGAGGCACCCGGGCTGCCTTATCTGCAACGTCCCTGCCACTTCAAGAGCAGCTGGGAGATTTAATCCCTCTACTTCGAACCTCCGCCCTGCTGGAGGTGCATTGTGCGCCTCTACAAAGAAGCACCCACAGGGCATCCTTATGAGAAGGCTAAATCAGCTCAACTGACTCATCTCACCGTTTAGGATCATGGGGATATTTCAGCAGGCTGTATCAGTGATCTTGCTCTTTCAGTCATTTCTCAAAGCTCATGACCATCGGTGACATAGATCGAACAGTAAATCAAGTGCTTTGACTTCTGATTAAATTCTCTCCCCACTGCTGAGGTGAAGTAAGATGCCCACAGATGCCCAAAGAAATGGCCACAGAAGTATTTAACCTAAAACACAAAAGTTAGCAATGCACGACAAACTAAAAACCACCAGAAATAAAAACAAAAAACAACAACAACAAATCAGGAGGGTTGTAACCTTTTTTCACATTTGATCTAGCTCATTTAACCAATCTCAGCCGAAGAAGAGAGTTAAAGCTGTACAAGAGGGCCAGCACCTTGAGATGAATAGGGCCACCCGATCTCATCTGGCTGAGCCACGAAGGACTGCATACTTGAAAGCTGAAGTCACCAAGCACAGGCAGCTGAGAGCAGAGCACAGCCAACAATACAGAACTGAGAGGTGGAGGCAGGCTCCAAATACACAGAAGATGACTTTTAAACCTAACTGAACTGCATAATACAAGCTGGAAAGTGTGTGTGTGTGTGTGTGTGTGTGTGTTCAGGGGTTTCGGGGGGTGAACGAGAAAACAGGGCTTAATGTGTCAGGCAACACAGCTGGAGTAATCCAACATGAGCTGAGATAGGCAATACTGAGCTGAGCTGCAGCACATTGGGGAGATTACTATACTACACTAGCATGTGTTAAAAGTAATAAATATCCTATATGCATTGATAATATGAATATTATTTAGATGTTTTAAAATGCACTAATGTTTATTAAAAAAACATGCTAAACAAAGACATCAATTTCACTGCAAACCCCACAGCAACAGACAGAAACCCCCTTCATTACATATCGTTCTGAATTTATTAATGAACATTGTATTTATAAATGTGAAAGGGAGCAATAACACAATAATTGTGCATTGAAATAGGTGCATGACAGACTGAATATATTAGTATGCTAAAACAAGGGATTAAGCCGGTTTCAGTTGTGTGCACTGTAGCTCCCTAATCATCTTCGATTTCCAGTTCGAGCAGTTTATACAGTTTATACAGCTCTTGTTCTTAAGTCTGAATACGTATATTGTAAGTCGCTTTGAAAGAAAAAAGCAATGAATAACTGCAACGTTTGCAGGAGTCGGTTTCAGGTTCACCGAGATGAATGAGAGGAAGAGGCTGCGGCCATTCTTTCTTTGTTATTCGCTGTAAACTCAGACCTTGTCAAACAACATTAGTCGGCCTGGTAGTCAGCATTGGTAGTCAGCCTGCTGAATGAATGAAGCCGGGTAGAGATGTTCAGATAGAGCAGTGGTTCTTAACCTGGGTTCGATCGAACCCTAGGTGTTCGGTGAGTCGGTCTCAGGAGTTCGGCAGAGCCTCCGCCGTGCATGTATGCACATATGTATGTCTTGAATTTGAAAAAAATCGTATTTTATTTTTCACTAAAGAGGGGTTCAGTGAATGCGCATATGAAACTGGTGGGGTTCGGTACCTCCAAAAAGGTTAAGAACCACTGAGATAGAGGGAAGGGAGCAGACTATGATATTGTGCCTGTAAGCGAAACTAAACTCTGTATTCCTGAGTAGGTTTTAAAATAGGAGTTAAAAATTTACATAAGCCTGTATTTATCCAGGAAATTATAAATAAAGGCTTGCGTGCTGCTTTTCCATAAACACTTTTGTACTTTAAATTCTGAAAATGTGTACTTTCGTTTGTAAGTGTACTTCTTCAAGCTCACAGTTCCTATTTAATACTTTTCTAGACATTTAGAGCATAGCTAAGCTTAAGGAGGGTTTTTTTTGTAACTTGTAAACCTGCTTCTGTGGATATTCCTCCAAACTTACTAAACCACAATGGTGAAACAAAAATTCAGAAAAACAACAGGGAGTCTGACTCACTCTGGATCATTTTGGGTTGACCTCCTACACTGAACCTAATCACGCTGTCAGTAGCGCATGATTTTTGTGTGTAAGTGAGCGACACATAAGAAGCAGATGGAGCCCGTGAACGGCTGCTGCAAAATGAGTGCCCAGGCCTGACCAAGAGTGTTATCTTTTAGGAGAAGACAGCACAGAACTGCAGACGTGGACACAAACTCCCCAAGCTGTCACTCGACTGGCTGAATGTGTAAGTGTATGCACTGGACTGACTGCAGGAGGAAGCACTCAGTTTCCTTAGTGTCCTTAGAGCAGTAAAACAGCTATCCAGCCATGTGCAAGTACTGCACTTTAAGTAAAAACTTAATGAATCAAAGAAGTTGGAAAAATAAAAATTGACTGCAATGACATTTCATTTCTCAAAAAGAAAAACAGTGCAGAAATAGCTCAGATAGAGAGTTGAGAGTTGATAAGAAACTCATTTATTGCAATGAGTGCAAGATGTTGCAGAACTAAATAATGTGTTAAATAAAGCACTTTAATTTCAGCTGCCAAAACACTGCACATTTTATTGTTAATATAGATTTATATTAGAGATTATAGATTTAAGATAGATTTCACTTAAGCAAAGTGTGACGTACAGCCAAAAAATAATATTATGTTAAACATTTCTCCATCTTTGGTATTTTTCAGGGAGGCATTAAAGGATTGCCAAGTTCACTATACATTCTTTTCACCCTATGTAATTCAAGCCAACTTTAACAACATGACATATCTAAAAATAAACCTGCCTGTTTTTTTTGCTTTCTGGTCCATTTAGATTTGATGTCGAGAACATAATAACACCCATCAGCAAATACAGGATGTATAACCAACAGACAAGAACAGTTAGGGAAACTATGAGGTATCTGACTGTCCACCCACCGAGCTAGCTCGGAAGAAGAGAAAAGCAGCGGCACAAAGTATGTCAGGAATGAAAAGCTTCTGGTTAACTGTCTCAGGGTGAAGAGACAACACAGTTCCCAGGCCACCAGGAAATGGTTGCACAGAAGAGGCCCCAGGTGGCTCCAAGTGAAATGAGCCACAAACAATATGGGCTAGGTCACAATGCTGCTCGCTCGAAACTAGCCGAGTTACTAAAGCCTTTTATTATTGTTGCAGATGAAAATCCGATGTGAAACAAAAAGGATTGCACAAGTAAAGGTAATTAAAGGTAATCAGTTTCAAGGTCCTCACCGTCACATCTGCATGGTCTACTGGATCACTCAAAAAGAGTTGTGATACGGTTTTTTTTAATATAACCTGTGCAAAAACTAAAAGAAAAGCTCTAATCTCAGTTTGTTCTGTAGTATGTGTATCCTGTGGCTGGGGTGGCTGTAGCTTAGGAGGTAGAGCAGGTCACCTACTGATTGGAAGGTTGGAGGTTCGATCCCAGTCTCCTCCAGTCTGCATGCCAAGTATCCTTGGGCAAGATACTAACCCCAAGTTGCTCTCCGATGCATCCATCGGAGTATGAATGTGTGTGAGTGTAGTTAGAAAGCACTCAGTATAGAGGTAGTGCTTGTGAGAATGGGTGTGACTGGGTGAATGTGGCATGTTGTATAGAGCGCTTTGAGTACTCCGGGAGAGTAGAAAAGCGCTATATAAGAATCAGTCCATTTATCATCCTGCACTGCAACCCTAAAGTCGGTGAAACACGTAACCATTTTCATTGTATATTCTGCCACATGTTTAGTTATGATTGTTTAAGCTACAAAATAATGAACCTCTGCATGGGATCACTTAATCAGGGACCGAAATACTGCTCGTCTGCCGCTCTTATGCAACCTAGTTCTTTCTTTAAAAATGCAACTCAGTGCTACAAAGCTGTGGATATTCAGTGAATTTCTGGGCTCTAACCAAGCAAGCCGTGAGATCATTTTTTCAAACATTCTAATAAATATGTGATTCGGATCTGACCTGATATAAACTCAGGCAAAAACCAAGCTCTGTTTCATGTGCCCATCAGTCCACAGAAACACTCGGTCACCGGACAAGAGTCGGCCCCTCCCTCTCTAGCCATCTTCTTTTCAGCTGTCTTCCAGCCTTCTGGCCTACATCCCCGCCTGACTGGTGTCTGCAGCTTGTGTCTGCCTCAGTGAACCTCCACCTGACAGACAGCAGCAACCACACACAAACACACAGTTGCAGCTCATGTTTGTGTGTTTGTGGGGAAGAAAACTTCACACATTACTACTACTACTTTAACATCTTGATGTAAAATTTGTTTAGATATAGTTAGATATAGTTGTCTGTTAGCAAAGACAGAATTCATCCACTTAAATGTGGCATGAAATGAAATGACTTTTATTGTGATTCAAACTGTATATACTGTATTAAGCTTTTGCAGGTAATGAAAGTGCAAATGACATTTTGGGGGCTTCTTGTCACACTTTGGGTTTGATTTGACTTAGCATCTGTGAAGGGAGGAGGCCACAGGACAGCCTCAGTGACAAACCCACACACGCACACATTTATCACTCTTTAGCTGAAGTGGCTGCTGACTGGTGTTTCCTGTCCAATGAGAGCTGTGTAAGTTCATGAAAGTGTAACTCTACTTTCAAACTGCCAGTACACAGTACTAACATGTCACACTTTTGAAATCAATAACGTACTTTATAAATTACGTTACAAATATTTTTGCATCTTATTCCACGTCAACAAGCATGAAATGCTGAGTGAGGTGTTTTTGCGTTACTGTCAGGTCGAACCACACCTACAGACTTCTGCTCCACCGGTTCTCAGCAGCTGCCCATGCTGGCAGCGATGTTGTAATGGTAAAAATGTTGACGGTTGAGATTTGAATGACGTGTGCCTCCTCTTGTCTTTTATGCTATTATAACCTGCCCCACGCTCATGAACATGCTTACATTACTACTGAGCCTCACCAGTAGTAACACCATCCATGCCGAACAGGAAAGACAAAAGGGGAAAAAAAAGGAGTGACAGATGGGAAGTTGAGACAGGAACCATTTTACGAGACAGATGCACAGCATACTTATCTTTATGGGGGTTCCTTACTAAGTATGTTTTTGTTTTTAACTTATCCTATCAGCCACAAAAGCAGTGTTTTGTAGGTCAAAGGTAAAAGTGGAATAGATTGGATTAGCTTTACTCTCACCCATGCATGCTCAGTACAATATAAGCCTTCTTGTTTTAAGATCTTATACTAACTAGCAAACACGTTGTTGAATACTTCTGGTTGATACTTCAAAGTTGATTTAATTCAAAAATGTGGATCCCAGAGTAGAAAAACTCCAGGACGTAAAATATGTAATTTGCTTTGTGTGCCAATTTTGAATTAAGTAAGAGCTTGTTTTGGCTAGTCATATAAAAGGAAAAGGAGCAACCAACTGCACAGTCCATGCATAAATATGATTTTGACTTAAGAATCTACCTTAACGCAGTTTTCTCTTCTGCCCTTCTTATTGGTATTTACTGATGAAACTGGAGGGACCCTACCTTCTGGTTTTACCGTCCACTCTGCCAAAAATGGCCAAATTAGTTCTGGGTTAATGAGCTGTCACACATTTGAATTTTAAAGAACACAAATATTCATCTGGAGCAAATTCCATAGAGAAGAGCAAAAGTTTGATTTAGAAAACATGATGTTTGGAGCTGATGCCAATTTGAATTTTTAAGGAATAAATATCACAATATTGATGTACTGGACATCATAACGTATACATGCAACAGCTACTTTTCGCTGCTCCCCTATTCACAAGGGATCACCACAGCGGGTAGCTCCGCACGTTTAATTTGGCAGAGTTTTTACACCGGACATCCTTCCTGACACAAGCCCAAAGGCATTTGCGTTTCCTCCTGGGATGGAACTTGGGATCTTTCGCTTGTCCTGCGAATGTTTAAACCGCTACTCAAATACAATATGTGAGTTACACTAGAAGGGGAAAATAACTTCGCAGCAATGTGGTTTACTAACCCGTTAGCATCTAAACACGAACACACTGCTCATCTCCACGCTGTCTGCTCAGCTGTGGTGTGCACCCTGCTCCATGTGCTGCAGGGTGCACAACTTAGCCAGAGAATCTTTTTCTACATCCAGACATATCAGCGTACAGTTTCATATATCAGATCGGCTGTAGGTATGGGAGCGTGTCTAGCTGCCAGTCTATCCGGTTCAGCTGTTCATTGTGGACCATACTTTGTTACATTTCACTGATAACTAAGAAAATAACTGAGCTACATACATGGTAATCCTCATTCAGCCTGTGCTGACATTATTTTGCAAATTTAACCTCAGTATATAAAGAATTGGGAGACAGATATTGACTCATCACAGCTGAGGCTGCAGCTTGGATGTCATGATTCATCCGATTCACCAGGTTTGACAAGCTTGCCCGAAGGCCGTTTAAGTCCCACAAGTTCTATATACAGCTTACAACGCTGATGGCGGTAAACTTGAGCCACACTTTGACCTAAACAATGTGATACAGGCGTGTTCCTTCTTGTTCCAGGATGTGTTTCATTAACAAATGCATGTGCAACTAGAGCACCAGCTGTATGAAGACATTGTAAGCACAAGTTGAATAAGCTTTTAAAAGAGCAAGGACCTGCCTGCTCGCCTGCTTGAGTCCTTACTCCACATCTCTTGGCTTTAAGCACTTTATGGAGCTAATTTCATTTCACGCATGCAGTCCTCACGGGAGAGACAATACTCTTCAGGGTCAGTAAGCACTATGCCTCCTGAATGTGCTCGGGCTTTTTTTTTTTTTTTTAAATTGCATCCAAATTAAAATGAACATCATTATTTTTATGCTACACACTCTAATGCAATCAATAATCGTGAACGACACACATTGGTAGGCAGTTGGCTTGTATTGATCACTTCATGTGGATCCGGCCTAGAAAGTTATCCCAGCGCTACAGGCTCCACCGGATGGGGCTGACGTGGAAAAACAATCCAACCAAGCACACATCTCTATCAATAGCTGGGTGTAATTAAACAGTACTCCCTTTACACAAACTGCCAGGCCAGCAGGTCAGTTTGTTCAATGTGGTCTCACTTAGTTCAGGATGTTAGACAGCTGCATTGCTGCCAACGCCGGCCTGTTTCGCTGCATTCTCAGCATTTTTCTCATTAATCAATCCTCTAAATTTCGTATTCCGAATGAGACATTTTGGAAACTTCCACTGGGCTCTGAGCCCCCATTCCTGGATACCTTCCTAATTTAAGAAATGCGAGGAGTGCAATATCCTCTCTTTATTTCTGGATCCTCTCCGTTTCTTCGCAGACATGTGTTGCATCAATAAGTGGTAGGAGTGGCCGGGAGTGTGTCCTTAATCTCTTTATCCCTGCAAGTCAGCTCTGCTTACAGCCTAACACAGAGATCTTTTCAAGCATCTGCCAAAAAAAGTTAACCACCTTCTCCCATTCATTTGCTACTTTACTACAACATCATCATCACCATTATTACTAACATCATTCATACACTCACCTATTCTTTGTCATGTGACTTTGTGGGAATTTACAGAGACTTTTCAGGTATGTTTTGCGATACTTCACTGTACCTACAGAGTCACACCTGAATGACAACATGGCATGTTACTATGGATGTAATCCAGGATGCATTCCACCCTCAACTGATACTACTCTGCCCAGCCTGCTACTGTGCCACTGTACAAAGCAGTATCATGAAGTGACATACCCATGGCTGTAAACATAACATTTTGAGTCTAAGGAAGAAAAACACAAGTGTATTTATTACTCATCACTGCGATTAATACACCTAAAGAAGTCTTCAAGTGGTAATTTTATCCACTGGCTAGCCAGTGTACATGCCTTACTGTGATTCTCCATGGCGGTTGCAATGTTTGTTTCCTTAATTTCTAACAATCTCAACAGTAAATAGTTTAATGTTTCCATACGCTACGCCCATTCAGCAACGCGTCCACGCGTGTAAACGCAACCGAAAAGAAAAAAAAATGCATTACATGGCACGACATTAAAAATAGTCAGCTACTGTAGCGTACTTAATTTCCCCATAACTGGGAAAAACACAGTCACCATCACCGAAATCACTCCCACCGTCTCGCCGGAGCCCACAGTCCAGGCTCCAAAAGCGGGGGAGGCTTAGCGACATACATACCCACACATAGACAGCAGCTAACACACACTTTTACTAATCACAGCCAAGTGTGGCCGTAGCTGCACTTGCAATGTTTACTGCTCCTAGAAAACAGAGAGGGAAAAAAAAACAAGGAGCTCCGGATAGCATTTGCTTACCGAAAACACGTCAACGTCCGTGGCAGCCATGGTGCGGAATGTATGGTGTTGGTGTGCTGAAGCAGACCGAGCAGAGGCGAAAGGGAGCAGCCCTTGTGTCTCCGTACTAGCCTGCTAAACTACTGACTGAGCCGAGCTGACAGTGATAGGAAGAGAGGGACACAAGGCGGAGAGGAGCTGCTGAACTGGGCAGGGAGGGCGCTAAGCTAGGCGACGAGAGGACTCCCTGCTACTTCGGTTCTGCTTCGCTCAGACACGCTACAGTTTTTCATTCGCTTTTAAAACGGTATTAGTGTAAAAGAACAACATTTATTTTTTATTTTTTTATAAACTAATTTATATATAAGCGAAAGGGTGAGAGAGTCGGTTATTACAGTACTTAACGGCTGTTTGACGGAGCACTATTTGCGCATGCGTACGCACATTCCACATTTTTATACATTTTGGCTGTTTTCACATAAAGAAAGCTATTTTTAAGTAGCTTTTCATTATATTGATTATCAAAGTGAACTACAAAAGATGATTGCTATGTAGTTTTTATTAAGCACTAAAGAGTTTCCAGGCGATATAAGAATAAATATTTATACCTAAGTTAAAGTCGAGCGTGAACTATCCCAAGTATAGTTGACATCTTTGGTTGTGACATATACTTTTTCAATATGGCCAGCTTTCTCAATCGCTGCAGGAATGTCATGTTGCACATTCTGCAAGCCAGGACAGGAGCAAGCAGCAGAAATATGTGTCAGTCAGAGATGGATGTCATTTAAAAAATACCCAATCATTTGGATGCCAGTCAAAACATGGCATTCATATTTAATTTAAGCTAATTAGGTCAGAGATTGAGTTTAATAGAATGCAGATCAGCCAATCAGGGAGTTGGAGCAATCCGTCACGTGATGTCGCGATTTTCAATATTTTTCTGTGTTATCTGTCACGCAAAAAATAGAATATGTATCTTGTATGTGTGTATACCAAACTCGCTTTATTCCAGATAAATGAATGGTATTACTATCATGAGTAAGAGCAGTGGTTAAGTTATAAGATACCGTTGCAATAATTAGGATTTCCAAAGAACTAAGTGGCAAACCTCCGGTACTCAAAAGTCAAGCTCACACATGCCACAAACTACAGTTCTTCTAATGGCCACTTGCAGCTCGTTCGATGAGTAAGTCAGTCTGTATTAATTACAATCTTGATGTTAAAGTGCCCAACTTTATCAGGAGAAATAGAAGGAAGGTCAGAAAGAGTTGCACTGTGTCTTTGAGGATCTCAAGAGCACATACTGGGAGAATTAAAAGAAGTTAAAGTGACTAAGCGGCATTTTAAAAGGCTGGTACAAAAAGGCTTTTGGCCTCTATGGATAGTGCCCCCCTTCATTGGGGAGATGCATAACTCGTCCATGTGGATACTGGAGTTAGGTGTGTGGCTGTCTGATTGACAGGCACAGTCTTCCATGATAGTGATGTGTTATGGCCATGTTGGTGGTGTTCCTGCATCATTATAATAATGTTGGTCCACAATGCTGATGTGATGTCTTAGCTTGATGACTGTGATGAGAAAGGACAAAAAAATCCATTTGTTTATATAAAAATCTCTTCTGAAACAAATGTTAAGCATTTCAAGTGTTTTTCTTATTAATTAATGCAATTAAATAATAAAGTTAGGTTTGCTGTTAGCCACATTTAGGTTCCTCATCCTGGTTTGCTTGGGATAGTTTTTCATAGCTTTAGTTAACTTCTTGGTTAATGCTAACTGAATGCTCACACAACATGACTGACCAGTTGTAATGTTTATTCTGGAACAACATTATGATGAAGATATAAGATATATAAGATAGGAACAAAACTAACCTGGCGATATCAAATAGTATGTGGTGAAATTATCTGACAAATACTATGGCTCGCTGCGAGGTACAGACAAAAGAAATCATCAAAGAAGTCTTTGGTTCAGTTTGTGGAGTAAAATTGCAGCAATTTATTAGCAGTCAACAAGATAGGATGGCAACAACAGCCACAGCCACAACAATGATGCTTCCAATCAGATGGGTGAGGTCACGGTTGCTATGTCCATCTTTTATTTACAGTCAGTGATGGTAACAGATTATATAACCTATATGACATTTTCAAAATACAAAAAATTAATAATGAGCCCACATTTCATTATAAAATATATGTAACTAGATTGTAACCACAATGATTTATTAATGAATGAATTTATTATTTTAATCTTTAAATTCCATTGTCACAATTGTTTACAACAACTTATTTTGTTTGTTTGCTTTTCTTGAAAAGGGGGAAATTACTTTTTTAATGTGGCTGCATTAGTTTGTATATTATTATTATTATCATTTATTTTTTTTTACTTTATTATCATTATTATGATTAATATTATTTAAAGTGTAATATTTTCAGTGTTTCAGTGTTGAAGTATAACCCTTGCATATAAAGTATAATCCTCACATTTCATGTTTGTGAGTACAGTACCTACATTTCAACACCTCATGTGAGCCTAATCCAATATTTTTTAGCCTAATTACTAAATATTTTCTCCTTATCATTTATATGTACTTGTAGCCTACGAATAGGAACAAAGTGATGTTTTTTGTTTTATTTTACTGAGGTCTACTTTGTTGATTTACCGAAATTTTTGAGCATAAGAATGTTGAACTACTTTGCTCATAGTAAAATATGTACATACATTATTCAAATTGTCCACGTCCTCACTTTCCCCGGAAAGAGCCTCCTCCAGGTGTGGGGAGGAGAGGGAGCGTCCAGGTAAAGCGGTCTGTACCGTCACACGGATAAAGGTGTAACACACCGCGCAGCTGTAAGGAGCTTTTGGAGCTTTCGCTTTTTTCTTTTACAGCTTTCATAATGATTTTGACACAAGAATCCATCCTGTCTTTGCTGGTAGCGGAGGGTGGAAGAGTGAAGAAATCCGACCTGGTTGATAAGTTCAGAGGGTCGGTGGACACCGCGGATCCCGAAGAAAGAGAACGGAATAGGGAGCTTTTCAAGACTTTTGTCAACAATGTAGCGTTTGTGAAAGAAATCGACGGCGAACGGTATGTTGTCCTGCGGAAAACCTATCAGCATTTGTTGGAAGGTCCAAAGATCCATGTGGAAAAGCCTGAAAATGAAAAGATCCCGCTGACAGGTGAGCAGCAGCGCCCACCTGCGCAGGCTGGAAGCTCTGAGGATCAGGGAGGTGTACAATCAGCTGTTACTGAACCTGATCAGGAAGAGGCAAGTGAAAGTAGTGACCATCCCACAGAACTGCTTTCTCCCATACAGATAGCACTGCAAAGGAGTAAATTTGCAAGTGTACGACTTAAAAGGTCGCTGAATGTTGATGTCCAGCTGCAGGATAGAAAGGGAATTAACTGCTCAAATGCGCCTGTAAAGAGCAAGCCATATGCCTTGCCTCTGAGGATGCCCCCCAGCGCCACTAAAGTGGAGATCCACAAACTTAAGCCTGACCCAGATGAACCCGAAGAATACCCAAAAACGGATGCTTTCAGGGACAAGAAAAACAAACTTAAGCCTGACCCAGATCAACCCGAAGAACACCCAAAAACGGATGCTTTCAGGGACAAGAGAAACAAACTTAAGCCTGACCCAGATCAACCCGAAGAATACCCAAAAACGGATGCTTTCAGGGACAAGAGAAACAAACTTAACCCTGACCCAGATGAACCCGAAGAACACCCAAAAACGGATGCTTTCAGGGACAAGAGAAGGATGCCTTCGGCGGAGAGGGGCGGCAGCACCGGCTCACCCCAGCTAAGGAGGGCAGCGAAGAGCACCAAGGCATCAGAGGAGCACAAAGACACCAGGATTCCCTCTATGTTTCCCCTGGAGCACTCAGAGCATCAGTGGCTCGTCAATTGCGCCGCCGGCCACTGGAGCCAGGTTTACGGCCTGCTGCTCAGAGACAACCAGCTGGCCGAGAAGAAGGACTTCATGTCAGGGTTCACTGCTCTGCACTGGGCAGCCAAAACTGGGAACAGCGACATGCTTGTGAAGATTATCGAAAAAGCCAGGCAAGGAGGGGTTCACGTTGACATCAATGCAAAAACACACGGGGGATACACTCCTTTGCACATTGCTGCATTGCATGACAAGCAATATATCATTGGCATACTGGTGAAGGAGTACAAAGCCAACATAAGCATCAGGGACAACTATGGCAAGAAGGCCTACCACTATCTCCACAAAGACGTTTCTGAGTCTGTGAGAGAGATGCTTTGTAAGCCCAAACCCCAGCCGGCACAGGACAGGGCCCTGCATGAGAAAGAGGAGCTGGATTTGTTCCCGGATCTCTCCAAGGGCCTGCATTCAATAAGCCGCCTCTTTCAACCAAACGTGACAGGCCACAAAAAGAAGCACAAGCAGCGGCCTGGGCTGTACTCTCTGAACAACGACCCCATCGAAGAGGAAGAAGACAGCGGCGCCGGCTTCAGGCACAGGCCCATGTCAGATGTTTTTATGTGAAAGCAAAGCTCTTCCCTGACGGAAAACACACCAATGACCTTCAAAGGATTTGGTTAATGCTCTCTTTTTTATTTTTAGCCTACTTTCTGCAGTTATTATTGGAGATAATGATACAAAAAACATGTGGAGGGATTCTATAGAAACACCATTTAAGTGGTTAAGATCAAAGAGAAAAAGAGGTTAAAAAACCTCGAGGTCAGCAGACGCTGTGTGTGACGTTACCTGCATGAGGTGAATGTCAGACAATGGTGGCTCCTGTGAGTCGTCTTATTACTCACGCAAGTGTGGGCTTTTGTAGGCGTGGCCCCTTTAGTCTGTCTGTTTTCAATTGAACTGAGCTTTAAAGTTGTACAGAGAATTTTCTACTGAGTCATCTCAATTAAGACCAAAGCATCATCACCTGAGAGGAATCTGCGCGTTCAGCAAACTGGTAATAAGGACTAATGTATAATATCAAAGCATTACAGTCACAGGAGTTAGCATGTGGAACAATTGTATAGACAAAGTGGAAAAAAATAGTACATCACTACATAACTTCACAGACCAGCTGAAAAACAACAAACTGAATGAATATAGGAAATGTTCCACTCGGTGATTGAGTTGTTTCATTGTGTTTTAATGAAGCCTTGTCTTCATTTTTGTTGTTTAAGGTGAGAATAACCCTTTTTTTTTGTAAAAAAGGAGTAGGTCTCAATAAGTGTTTAACTTCTAAATACACCCGTTGATGTGTAGTATGTATATAGTATGTAAAATTTAAGATTATTTCATATTGTGTTTATATATCATACATGGAGTGTTAGGATGGTACTTACACTTTTCCTGTTTTTTCTTCTGTTTATGTTTTTTATATGAATACTATAGCCAGAATTAACAAAACAAAAATAAATGTAGTGGTTCAGACCAGTATTCCAGTTCATGCCATTAAAAAAATTAAGGTGTCCGTTTATGTAATCGAGCTTCCATGGCCGATAAGTCGTGC